TATTTAACAAGCAAAGATGGGTCAGAATGTACGTAGTAAGTGGGCCGTATATTAAGTGATAATAAGAGTCTGTATACAACACACTTCACTACAAAGCTCGAGGTCGTTCGTCTAGTGCTATGCTATGAGCTGATACAATTGCTATTTGCTAAGAGTGTTAAGTTGCCCAACCCCTTACAGTGAAATAATTACTACTATTTATACTACCAAGGGGTAGGTAGTGTTGCTGATATGGAGGATTGTGGATGGCTAGCTCTCAACCACCAAATCTATTGCATTAAATGCGATTCCCGCCAGTATCTTGGTTTCTCGACATAGTCTCAGACGAGCGTTCTGATGGGCCTGGTTGGGGATCCTTGATAGGACAAGCATGTGCCTCCGTTCGCATTCCCTGGGGGTGCGGACGAGCATCCTCCATACAACCAAGCCTGGGTCTTATGGTGTACAAGGGTGTGTATCTGCACGACATGTTTCAATTCTCTTGGCAAGGGACCTAGAATGTTACCTGGTTTCCATTGGGAAAAAGATCCCTGGGACCGAGCGCCAACCATTATGGGCCCGAATGGCCCCAGCGTCTAGTGGGTAATGGGCCGATGTGCTATCGGGCCTGTTACCCCAACACACTACCTAAACCACAATTAGTTTAATTGACAAATCAACAAAAAAAGTTTCACAAGTGGGAATGCATGATTTAAGTGGACCAACTCCCACACTTGAAATCCTACCCATGTGGGGGAAGTCTTCAGTTCAAGTCACTGAAATTTTCTTAAATAATGATCCTCGATCTAGCCTTCCAGTGAGCTATGATGGGAATTTGATGTCAAACATGCGCAATCAATCGATTAAGAGCAATCTCTTGTGTGTGTGTGATGGTGTGTATAGACAGCGGTGACTCGGTGAGAATCCAATGTCGAGTGATCCAGATTAGCATGTCTCAATGTCTTTGATAAATTTTTAGGAACCCAAAATTAATCCGACAAAATCGGGATCAGTTGATCCTAACAAAAAAATGGGTTTAGTAATGCATCTACATATATATACATTTAATGCACACAACCTCCTCCTAGTACAAATTTAACAATTTGGAAATCATTGGTCTTAACATTATAATCGAATAAGCATGTAAATTTATCAAAATAGCTCAATTGTGCAAAAAATACTAATCATTTTTCTTTTATTTGATAATTAAATTTGTTCGACGAGGGTTTTGCATATAAATAATTATGTGATACTCCCTCGGCCTCCGTCCCCCTAATATTGGTATGGAAGGGAGTGATGTGGTTTTTAAGAAAAGTAGAATTATGTGGTTGGTAATGAGTTGATAAAGTGGAAATAAAGTAACAATGAATTAGAGCCACATAACTGTTACCAAATATGGTATGAGACAATAATAAAGGGACATCCAAAAATGAAAAAATGGGACAATTATAGGGGGCAGAGGGAATATAACACATGGGAATTCGATGCACTTTTTAAATCACATGAAGTTAATGGATTAAATTTAGCAAACTCAACCAAGCATTCCAGCCCAAGTGGTTGTGAGGTTACCGTGCCTAGTGATATGTCTCAAGTTCGAAATCCGCTAGGCACATAAGGGTTTGAAACTCAATTGAGTGAGTTTCACCCCTTATTACTCCAGGCCTCCCAGCCTCCCTCCTCCGGACGCCCCTGGAGTAAAAAAAAACATTAAACTCTAAAAAATATACCATTTGGAATTGATATTGGGTACCAGCTGAGCTTCACAGAAGAAGTTTGATACCCCATGTGATCCATGGACTTGGGCATATAGGCCTATCAAGAAGTGTGTCACGCACAATCCAAAAGCATTTTTCTGGCACATGTTCCGGCACTCATCAATCCTCATCGTCCACAATCACAATTAACACAAACTACCCGGCGGGCAGGTGGGTTATCATCGTCTATACCCTTAGTTTGGGGTTGAACAAATTTTCTATTATCAAACCAACTAGAAAACTAAAAGTTCTAACCATTTATAACTATTTACTTAAAGTTATAACTATTTATCCTAAAGGTGACAAACTCGTTAACCATTTAAAAATGGGGTATGATATCTATCATTTACCTTATTGGTTTGAATCATTATATCATTTTTAATTTAGATTTAATTAATTCAACTGCAATATTCTAATTGATTCATATGAAAGAATGTATGGTACCTTATCGGTATCATACAATCTACTTATCCTAAATTATTACAAAGTAAAGAGCCAAAATGTAAGATATATGCAATCCAGTGCAGGATTGATTCCATACTTCCATTCCCAAATTAAAGGAGTAGCTTTTTCTTTTTGTGGGGTTGCCTAATTTAGTGCTATTTGAAGCTCCTAAACACACCTTTTAGCAAACGTCACACATTAATAATGTACACTAATGCTTCGTACTATTGTACCCATACAATGCCAATAATACACATTTACTCGATAACACAAATAATAATGTACCCCTACGGTACCATACCTTTGTCCACATGGACCAATCAGAATGTTGCAGTTGAATTATTTAAATCTAAATTAAAAATGATATAATGATTTGGACCAATCAAATGAATGGTATATAGGGTACCCCAATTTTTAAGTGGGTATCGGAGTTGCCAATTATTTGTCTATATATATAAATGATGATCTTTAGTATGAAATTAAGTGGCTAAATAATTAGCATTTTCATTCAGTAGTAAAATGCTTAAAGTGAATTCTGAAGTACATCGTATATATTATTATTATTATTATTATTATTATTATTATTATTGATTTGTATATTATACAGAATATGTGATAATTGGCAGTGCATGCTTCGTCTCATTCAAGTTTTACGGTGGATTTAATTACGTACAATATTTGGTGGAGGCCGGGTAAAGTTAACTCCTGTTTGATAATAAAGCTTTACCAATGCTAAAAATTCTAATGAGTTACGAATATTTAATTTGTAAATAATAAATTGTTTTAAAATACTACGTATATTACATCAAATCAAAGTAGATTAATATAAGTTGACGATCAAATTAAAATACAGAAATTGCCCTAAATAGGAGCAAAAACGTTTAGAAATTCCAAAATAAAAGTATCATGTTTTTTATTCGCTGAATAAGAGTAATCTGCCAAGTTTGGAAGAAAATGCCATGTTTAAAGCCTAGTAATGCCATATTTGGCAGAAATTTACTCCTATTAAGGGAATAAAAAACATGATAGTCCTATTTTTGAATTTCAAATTTTTTTTACTCCTATTTAGAGAATTCTCTCATTAAAATAATGTCGGAGAACCTTAAATTAGGAACCTTATAATCTTTTATGGTGGGTTTATCAAAATATGACTTATACCTTTCTTTCCTAATACATATGTCACATTATCCCGTATATTCATACAATATTGTTAAAATATTTGTCTCACATCGAAAAGCTATAAAATAATAAAAACACTATATAAGGCTTTGGGCTAATCCTCCTATGAGGTTGACCTTTTAGGATTAAAACTCGGGTCTTAACATGGTATCAGATCCAATTCCGGTTGTGATTTGACTGCTTGTTTAGCACCCACGATTACGGGTAGTTTGTTAATAGTCTGTTTGGCCCATTTATACACCCACATATTGTCCAGTCCGGTTCGAGCTGATGGGGCGTGTTAGAGTATTTGTCTCACAACGAAAAACTATAAACAATAAAAACATTATATAAGGCTTTGAGTTACTCCTCCTATCAGATTGATCTTTTAGGATGTAAACTTGGGTGATAACACAAAGTATGATTTTTTTTCCATTTCATATGTGTTTAATTAGCCATATATTGGGAATGAATCATGCATTAGTAATTATAATTTGAGAATTATAATTTGAGAACTGTCATGAGTGTTGGTCTTATATAGTAATATATGCCTTCTTCCCCTTAGGGTGTGTTTGGGAGTTGGGTTTTGGAGGGGAGGGGAAGGTTAATGGGGGTTTATGACCCTCCTTTTCATGTTTGGGAGTTTAAAAAATTGGAGTGGGTGGTTTTGGAGGGCTTTTGTAACCCTTCAAAACCCTCCGAATGCTTAATTTTTAAGTTCCCCCAATTTGGAGAGTTTTGGAGGATAATTAACAAAATGGTAATTTAAGCTAAATTGGAAACGAATATCAGCTCAATGATTTGAATTCGTCATATCTCAAAGTGATTTTAATTATAATTCCTTCAAAACCTCTCTCTTTCTAAATTTATTACTCCCAAATACAAAGAAGGGTTTCCTCACCCTCCCCTTCCTTTCCCCTCCAACAACATACCTCCAAAGTCTTCCCATCCCCTTCCCTTCAAACTCCCAAACATACCCTTAAAGAACAACTCAACAACTCACAAGTCACCCATCGTGATCGGTTTTCTCGATCTATCATCTGATCTGTAATCAAACTTTTTTCTTTCTTTCTTTTCACCATTTCTAATGATGTGGTCCTTCTCCTTCCATGAGTTCCATCCATATACAAGCTTTTACAATTTAAAAAGTTTATGTCACATGTGTGCATGAACACATACATATAACCTACTACGTATATGTATACATACATATATCCACGCATATAATTGAAATCTTATACGATATTAATTATATGGTACATAAAGTATCGAATTGCCTGGCCTTAAGAAATGAGAAATGTGTTGATTTAGTAATCAAGCGACTTATGTGATCATCTCCGATATATAATAAATGTAAAAATTAAAATAAAAGTGCATCAACTAAACATGAATGGAAAATTGCACATTTCTTGAGCCAAAACATCTTTCCTATTCACCCTAACTATCTATAAATTGAACATAGGAGAGAAATAGGAATGAAATTGTAATTCAGAGTTGTGCATCATATGAAACATGAACGTATATATACTACCTAAATGTGCATTTTCATGAACAAAAATATGCGTACATTGTATATCATTTTGAGTCGTTCTCATTTCGGGAATGAATCATTCCCACAACTATATATATACGTAGTATACCACTAAATAAGCTAATAAAGTCAGCATCGGAGGTAGCAAAACCACTATACCAATTCAAGAACCAAAACCTCAAAATGACTATACCAATCCCATACACCACTACTAATTCTTCCTTCGTTAACAATAACAATAGCAAGGAAATCACTAACCTTTTATCCATACTCAACCGTGCCACTGCCGCTACAAATTCCAATACCCATATTACTACTACTAATAATGATCATAATAAAAACACCCACATTAGAACCGGCAAGAAGAAGCCCCTCTCCGGCGCCGGCGCCGGCGGTCTCCTCCGCATGTTCAAACTCCTGCCCATGCTAACCACAGGCTGCAAGATGATGGCCCTACTAGGGAAGCAAATGAAGCCGATGCTAACGGACCGCGCAACGACCGGGACGATATTCGGGTACAAAAAGGGTCGGGTCAGCCTTGCGATCCAAGAAGACCCGCACCGGCCGCCCATTTTCATGATCGAGCTTCCCATGCAGACGGCCGTCTTCCACAAAGAGATGGCGAACGACGTCGTACGCCTGGCGCTCGAGAGCGAGACGAAGACCCGCAAGAAGAGGGTTCTGGAAGAGTATGTGTGGGCGGTGTTCTGTAATGGCCGGAAGATGGGGGTGTCTATTAGAAGGACGAACATGACGGACGACGAAACGCACGTCATGCAGCATCTCCGGGGGATCTCCATGAGCGCCGGCGTTCTTCCGGGACCGGTGCCGGACTCGGCCGACGGGGAGCTGACTTATATGAGAGCCAGGTTTGACCGAAGAGTTGGGTCTAAAGATTCTGAAGCGCTCTATATGATTAACCCGGATGGGGCGTCGGGTCAAGAATTAAGTATTTTCTTTGTACGAGTGCATTAAATAAAAAGGCTAAAAAACATTTTCCAACATTTCCTATATGTGTCTATATACCCAACATTATTTCCGTAAATAATTATTTAATTCGCACTAATTCGAAAAAAACTCATTTTTGAGCTCATGGATTTAATGAATGACATAAATTCATCCCTTTTCAAAAGGTTTAAATATGTTTTTAGTGTGATCTAGACAAATACACACTACCTTCATCCCAAAAAGATTCGCCCTATTGACTTTTCTTGATCAATTATGAAAAATTTTGGGCAATGATTTTGGTTATTATATACGATAGTATGTATATAATTGATAAATTTTATACTTTTATGAAAATATTTTGACTAAGGAACACTTTGATATAATTTTCATATTCAAAATAATTTTGTATTAAAAAATATCATTGGTCAAAGTTGATTTTCATTGATCAAGAAAAGTCAATTTCACGAATCTTTTCGATTCGAAGGGAGTACATTTTTTTGCACTCAGCAGAATTATTTTTTTTGTTTTTCATCTCTAAAATTTAAATTGATTTTTTTTTAATTCTATACAACCTCCATTTGACAATGAAACAACCTTGAGTAATGTGTATCCTTGGATTCTTTGTCAATTGTTCATTTTTTATTATTTAAAAGCTCTTAATGCATATTTTAAAAATGTGAAAATAAATTTTACATTGCTTTAATTTTCATATTAGTCTAAAAAATATTATAAAAGAATAAATTCAATACGTAGTAGTTTCTAATAGATTTATGCAACCGACTAAAAACAAAAAACAAAATATAGTACATATTACAGAGATGAAGAACAAAAAAAAATGCAAGAAACTAATTAGAAGAAAATGTGTCACATTTTCCGAGACTAAAAACGTATTTAAATGACAAAATTTTCAACATTCATTTCGTTCACATACAAATCTTATACGAAGTACATACAAAGTTTCTTTAGTATTGATGACTTTAAACTATTTTCGTAATGAAACGTACGATTCGCCTTCAACCTATATATTACTCGTATGATAAAATAAAGAAATACTCTGTAATTAGTGTAAGGCTCGGGACATGCCCCGGCAAGGCGGCAACACGGCTATTTGATATGGGTTAAAATGAAAACTACTCATAAATACTGCAAAATATTTATAAAATTCAAAGTTAAATATAATGGATTTTTATAATGAACTTTCCATAACTAATTATAAAATTGTATTTATTAAGTGATTAATAAATTATCCATTCATCATATATTATATATTTAGAACCCTTTCAAAAAACATGTTTTTAGCTTATCAGCCAATTAATTTGATTAATACAATATATTAACTGTAAATTTTTCATAATTCAGTAGATTTAGCCAATTCAGTTATTTCATCCAGAATTTCATAAATTTCAGCAAATTGAGGTGATTAAGTTAATTTCAGTTTTACCAAACATATTTTACACTTTAGTCCATATCAAGGTTTTAAAGTTGTGCCTGACGTGGTTGCGGCTATCATGGCCGATACGATGTGAATTAATTTTGCGTTTGAATGAAATAAGAAAAATTAAATTATTGTTGCAATCTTGATCCTCTTTGCGACCATGTTGCGGTTTTAATTTGTTGCGAATTTTCCCCTTGAATTGAAATATACATCACTGTCATTGCGGTTTCACAATTTAAAACTATTGTTCACATTTGTTATTCACCCGGTTAATTTTGTTACTCCTCTATCCGATTTTGTATAACACATTTTATTTTTGTCCGCCAAAGTATATAATTCTTTTCTAAATTAACACTGACTTTTTATTTCTCACTTTGTTTACTATCTATCATTTCATCATTCACTTCATTTTGAATGCATACTAAACGTTTTTATTTTTTAACTGTTAAAAATGTAAAACAGCTATTTTATCCTTATTTTTCAACATGCGCCAAATTGGAATATATCTTACAATGAGAGAGAGAGAGAAGAAGAAGTATGTACTCTAGAAAAGTTGACATTTATTTTAAGCATGCTTTATAATAGAATAAGTGTTTGTTATTGTGACAATGTAGTGAAGATCTCAGCTAATGAACAAAATTAAATTCATTTATATTAACTCTTTTGTACATCTAGTTATGTGTTTTATAATGATTGGAGTCTATTTTGAGTATTGAGTCTATGGTAGGAGATTTGATCTATTTATATCGAATTGAAGTTTTGTTATAAGATGTTCATGTAGATTGTATTGAGTTTTTCCCATGTGTTTAAAAAACTATAAGATTTGATATGTACAATAGTATTACTTTGCTCATTTGATTGGACTTGAACTTGAAGTCTTATTACAATTGATTGGAGTATATTTGACATTTTTATTGAGAAAATTCCAAATTCAATTCAGAAAAGTGAACAACTGTGTTCACTTTTACGATCCCCCAAAAACTCTACTTTCTTTTAAAATGTCTTTAACGTGGATAAATTTATCAGCTATATATTCAGATCTGCAAGAGAGTAAGTAACAGAACTAATAACAAACACATCCAAAAGTTACAGGATTAAAGTAATATATCTCCCTGGTTTCATGTCCCAAAATCCTTTTCAATTTAGTTTTCTTAATTGATTAATACAATTTCATTTTATTCTACTTTGTATAATTTGAAGCATGGTTCTAAAAATCGGCCTAGACGGGTGCCTAATCAGCTAGTCGGTGGCTAGGCAGTCCTGGACAATTTTTCCCGAACCAATTTTTTCCCCCCATTTTATCTTAAAACATCGTGTCACAAAAAGGTATTCTATTCATATATAATTCATTTACATATTCCTACAATAAAAAATAAATTTTAAATATAAATAAATTTTTTAGAATGTATTTTAAGATTTTTAGAGAGTAAAAACACAAATATCTTAATTTAATTATCAATTATTTATTATTGACGATTCTACTATAAAAAACTTAACATTTAATGATTATATGAGCTATTTCTATTGTCATATTATCATAAAATTATTAGTAATATGATTAAAATTCTAAAGGAAATAAAAAGAAAATAAAAAATAAAGGAAAAATGCTTAGGCGCCCTAGTCAGCGCCTAGGCACCCGCCTATGCAGGCTAGGCGCTAGGCGGCTAGTCACTACCCGACTAGCGCCTAGCACCTTTTAGAACATCGATTTTAAGTATTGGTTTGTTATCATTTTGTTATTTAATTTTGATAGTCAATTTATATAATCATTTTAGATATGTGATCATTTGTATTTGGGAAAAGGGTCAAATGGGCCCTCGAACTAACTTAAAAAATGCAAATCACTCCTTATATAGGAGGCTCTGTCCGACCGTCGCCGTTTAGAGCGGTTTCCGGTGGAATATTTTGATGAAATTTTTTGAGTATCTTCTTCATTAAGTCTAGTTTACTCATACCAAATTTTAGCTAAAAATTCAAATCGGAAAGGCAGTCAAATGAATTTTTGAAGATAATTGCGCAGTTAAACAACGTAGCACATTTCAGAAAATCGTTTGATTGCCTTCCCGGTTGAATTTTTATCTAAAATTTGGTATAGGTAAACTAGACTTAATGAAGAAGATGCTCAAACAAATTCATCAAAATATTACGCCGGGAACTGTCCCAAATGGCGACGACCGGACATAGCCTCCTATATAAGGGGTGATTTACACTTTTTAAGTTAGTTACAGAACCTATTTGACCCTTTCCCTTTGTGTTTCAATGTAATTCTAGTACAGTTAGTTTGTAGATATCAGAATAAATTGAGAAGAATTAAGATAATGAGTTAAACAATGATTTTAATGGTAACATTAACATTAATTGTTCGAAACCGATAAGAGGGTGACAAATCGACATTTCTTAGCTCAAGTGTACTATATAGAACAATAGAAAAGATTGACTAACGATATAATTAGCCATAAATTGTAATGTGATAATAAGTGATTTGTCTCTTACGTGAGGAAGCGGTCCAGCCCAGCTGGTCACTGACTCACTCTCCCTTACGGGAGGTCTCGGGTTCGAAACTCAATGGAGTGAGTTTCAGCTCTGATTACTCCAGCCACCCCAGCCACCCCCCCCCCCCAAATGACCCCTGGAGTAAAAAAAAATCTATTGCGTATTAATTGGCCATGAAGAGTGAAGTTATTTATGATGTTTTTAATTGAACTGAAATTTTCTGATTTGGTCTGACCTGGTTTCGTCTAGTGTGTTTAATTCTTATCTGGTCTTGTTTGGTTTAAACTGATTTGATCTAGTATGATAAATGTCTTATCTCTATTTACTTTATAACTATCGAAGTTTGATCTGATGTGATCTGCTTAAGTCTGATCTAATCTATTTAATTAAGTATTATATGATCTGATCTAGTTTGGTCTAGAATTAAATATATCCCACTCTTCATAGCTATTAATTAGCCATGAAGAGTCCTATTGAATTGGCCGACACATGTTAATTCATTTCTTAGCTATTAATTAGCTATGAAGAGTGGATATTTTTAATAGTTCTTAGCTTTTTGTTAGTCCAGTAATATGATTAAGTGTGAATTAAAACTAATGTTATTTATTTCTTTGTCAACCAATAAGAGAACGACAAATAAACTATTCATAACTCAGTTTTACTATATAAAAGAATAGATATTTATAAAGAATATCACTTTTGCTATAATGTGAATATAAAAGTGAAAAAAATAATAGATTGATGTCAAAAAAATAAAAGGATAAAAGGGAAAGAATTGAAAGATCAGAAGACTATAAAAAAATATTATTGACACATGCATAGGACCCAAAATGATAAACTAGCCCACGATTTCTTTTTAAAAGGTTGCCTCATTGCCATTTTGGGTGGGTCACGATAGGTGTAAAATAGCGTAGCCCCATGGCCTGGCCCCAAGCCCTCAACCCCTGTATGATTAAAATCATTTTTCCTCCACTCTTTTTAAATTGCAACACTCATTTAAAATATAGTTAATTATCTATTAGTAAAACAATTTAAAAGTAAGATTATGAAAGTTTAACATGAGAAGAATATAATACTAGTAATATTTTTCAAAAATAATTAATTTTTTAATGCATTAGAAAATAAAACTTAATCAAAGCAGAGCATGTAAA